ATGMAGTGACAAAGGGGCTGGGCAATTTTATCTTGACATCAGTAGGCTTTGAGTGGTTTCAGCAGATGAGAACAGGTTGTTGCTTCTTCCTAAATTTTCTTTATAACTGTGGCCAAATTCCCAAATAAGTCAAGGTAACATTTTCAGATACAGAAGTCACAGAGGATTGTATTTTCTTCAGCAGGGTGAGGCTTTTACTTTATCAATTTTTTTTAGGTGGTGGGAGGGATGTTATAACCACTATTTTACATCCTGAGTTCCTCTCCACTGAAACTCGAGGAGATGCAATCAGGAGAGCTGATAAACCCTGGAGACTCCCACTCTCTGCTCTGGTTGTTGCTATATTCAGGCTGAATTCATACAATTTGGGGTTTCTGATGTGGAGAAACCAGCAGCTCTGCAGTGCTGGTGCCCTCCCAATTCCTTCTGCCTACAAAAATCAAACACAGGAAGGTGTGTGCCCACACCAACACMCCCCACTGGTGTGACCCACAGATTCATTTCCATTTCATCATTTTTCACATCCTAATTTGCTCCTTCCTTCCCCTCCAGAGTTTGGGTTTTTTGTTTTTTTTTTTCCCTTTGCAATAAATGCCATTTATTTTATTTTAAATTGGAAATGGGTGATTTCAACATCCTCAGCGGTTCGTGTAAAATCACAAACTCATCAGAGGAATGCTTCTCTGACCATCCCATTTCCAGGTCCTTTGGTGTGAAAAATACCCAGTCAGCTTTCTGCCAGATCCCAAATTTCAGGGTAATTTTCTGTTAGATGATAACCAATTTATCAGTGTTTGCTGAAACATAATTTGCCACCATCTGCTGCTGAGCTCTCGGGCTTGGACTGCAAATCTTGAAAYGCCACCACTCACAGTGTCCTATGTTGGTCACCTCAATGACTTCTTCAGGAACARGGATTATTTGAAAATTCAGGAAAAAAGGGGAATTTATTCAGGAAAAACAGGGGAGTGGAAGATTTCAACTGGAATCTTCTTTTCCACCCTTCAGTTTTCACCCTGTAAAAATGGTTCTCTTTCTCCCACCTCAACCTCCCACTTTTTCTGGTCTTGTTTCCCAAATACTAGACCCAAAAATCTTCCAAGYTCCCTGCAGAAGATGGGGATGAGTTCTAGGCAAGCTCTATTGATTTATATTTATGTTGCATCAATCATGCAGCAGTCAAGGTCTTAATAATACATCTAAAGGCTGTGATAATCTGAAAAGTACTCCCTGGAGACTCGTACTTCTTTAGCAGTGACACATTGCTTCTGAAGCCGAGATGGAAATGCAGCAATTAATTTCTGTGGATGCTTTCATTAGTGAGAAACTGATTTTAAAATGTTGGGTTTTCTCCAAATCGTGTATGCTCTGCACACATTGCAGAGGGTGGCACGGCTGTTGACATCAGTAACCTAATTTACAGCGACCCAAAGCTATTAAAACTGCCCCTTTTACCTTTTTAGGTCAAAAGTCACACAAATTGTGCAAATAAAACCAGATAAACGTCTTTGRAGGATAACTCTCAATGTTCTGACACTCGAGGAATTTGTTTTAGCATTTTAAAATGACCACGTAGCAACCAACAGTAGCWAAGCCATTTAGAATTAAACTGGATAAGCAGATTTAACAGTTTATGTCTTTCTGGTGGAGCTGTTGATGGATTCTCTCGGTCGTTCAGCGCAATCATTGGGGTTTGAATGTTCCCAGAAATCATTATATTCATTACAGTGGCTCCAGCTGCCCTTCRTTTGGCAAATATAGAAAAATAAGGCAGGTACAGGGTAGATCATAGAAACAGAATCTGGTTTTCCCTTCACCTCTCAGTCCTCTCCCAATTATTCTGTAAATTTACCTCTTCTGCTCATGAGGATGACCTTGGAGTYCAGAACTGAGCCAGAGCTGTGGCCMACCCAAATTATTTGGTTAATAATTAATCATTGTTAATGATTCCATTCGCCTGTGAGTTGCAGGGCTCACAAAACTGTAACAAATGTGATTTTAAAACTTTTTACACCRAGGCCATGGACCCTGCCCAGACCCTTGTGGTAAGAAACAGATCTCAGATTTAAACCCCCCTGGTCTGCTCAATTGAGATGATGCTGCCATTGCTCCTTGTTAACACAGATATTGGATTTCTGTCACATCTGAACCACAAGAAGCAATTCCATTTTTTCATATTGCTGACAATAAAGCTGGATGAATATTTAATCTTTAAATGGCAGTTTACTCTGAACACTCTTTTTTTGTTGCTTTTGGGATAGCAGAGCTAATAAGAATGATTGTGTTGTTGACATAAGTGATGTATTGAATTTTAGAAAGCAGCTGCTGCAAATTAAGGGYGAGTTAATGACTAGAATAATTAAAATATCATGTGGTTGAGAWTACTTCATGTAATAATAGGTTGGAACTGTTACTGTTTTCCCTAAACACCRCCACTATTTCAGAATATACAGTGCAATGCTCTTCTGTAGCATTTTGGTGGAAAAAAAAAATCCTTTTCAAAAGTGCTGCTGTGATGTGAGAAACCAAATTTCTCTCCAGGTGGGATGCTGGCTCTCCAGTTTCCCTGCTGGAGGCTTGACCTTTGCCTGGGACAGGCCAGTGTCTGAAAGGTTTCTGATCTGAAGATCAGTTTAGTAAAGAGCAGAAAATTGTGGGGTATTGGTTAATCCAGCGTGTGGGAACCACCAAACACCAGGGAGGGRAAGGTGGATTTAACACCTCTGAGTGTGACACCTTAACAGGGGAACAAAGGTACTCACACATCTGAAAAARGCAGATTAAGTTCAAAAACATGCACCTGTAAAATAACTCTGTGTCTACGGCCTCAAGTTTTCTTGTAAGCTTTCCAAAATTGCAATTATTGTATTTTTTTTATTGATAAATGTGTATATTTCCGTGTTAGGTTTAGATGTAATACCAAAAATAGTTGAGTCAATACAGAACTCTGAAATTAATGAAATATGTAAAAATATCCCTTATCTGCCTAATGAGCAAGGAGCAGATCACAAGCATGTGAGCACGGTTTAAAATTTTAATGGAAACTGTAATCCCCATCGAAATCAAATTGCCAGATTAARAGGACAGAGAGAAGCCACAAAAGGATCAACAAATTGTCCTGCAAATCTGAGTGAATTTGGAGGGTTTGTGAGCTTTACCTAGCTATCAAGTGATTATGGATGCTGCAAAATGGTGATTTTATCAATGGAAGAGGGCAGAGAATGGTTATTTAGTGACTCACTGTCCCAGGCACAAGATGGCTTTCATTGTGATGGCTTCATTGAATATAAATTTTTTCTGCTAAAAAATGTTGTTACGATGAGATACAAAAATGCCATCTGGAGTTTAAAGACCTTAAAAAAGAAATTAAAGACTAGTATGCACTTAGATTGAGTGTATAGATATGATTTAAACTTGGTAAAGTTAAAAGGTAAAAGATAAAAAAAAAAAAAGTAAAAAAGGTAAAAAAGATAAAAGGTAAAAACAGCTCCAAACTTGGGTATTTTCAGATGCAAAGCAAACGTATCACACGCTGGTTTTTAAAGGTTAAATGGTGAAAAGCATCAGTGTGAAACCACTTGTGTTCTGTTTCGAGTTAACTCATCCCTGTTTGGGTGTTTCTCAAAGGTCAACCACCTGCCACAGCATGGTGAGAGAGACAGGGAAATGTGGCTGGAYCACTGTCACTCACTGCTGAAATCCACACTTCTGGGAGCTGTCCTGAATTCCACGAAAATAATGAGCTGGAGTTAGAGGGAAAAAAACCCCACAATTACGTATGGATAAGAGAAGGGAAAGTAGATGGTGACAGGAGCTGAAAATATGTGACAGACTTAAAATATCCAATGAAAAAATGTATATTTTACCCAGCCCAGGCAATGACTTCATTCACATTCATTTYCATCAGTGTTTTACCCACACAGAGCTCATCCCCCTGAGAAAAGACACACTCAGGTATTTCTAAAACTCTCCTGGTATCCACAGRTTAATTTGGATTAGAGATTACTAAATTGCACCACGTTTAATGTGTGTAAACAGATACAATTTCTGTAGATCCCCAACGTGATTCATCCATTCCTGGCAGTACCCAAGGCCAGGTTGGACGGGGTTTGGACCAACATGGGACAGTGGGAGATGTCCCTGGCATGGCAGGGGTGGCACTGGATGGGATTTAAGGTCCTTCCAACCCAAACCAGCGTGGGATTTGCAGGCACTCAGAGCTGTTTTAGAGAGGTTACTGCACTTGTCATTATCGGGATGGGTGAGAAAATCCAAGATGATTATTAAACCAATAAAAAAGGAGCAGCTGGATGACCTGACAGGGAGAGTTAAGGAGAAGCCAGGCAGCTCCCACCGTGCTTGGTGATTGTCAGGGCTCTGCATGGGGGCAGACAACTGATGGCTGGTATTATCAAGCATAACCTTTCATTTGTTCAACCTTTCCTCTGGGGGTGAGGCTGTGCAGCTGAATTCCTCATTGCTCAGAAGGGATTGTGTTTTTCTCTTTCCTACAGGGATGATCAGGATTTAGCAAAGTTCTCGCAGAAGAGAACTGTTATAAGCTGTTCAAATGGATCTGTAATTACAAAAAGGCTGTATCCACCCTCAAGTTTTATTTCTTGGTATTTCTGCAGGTTTTCCTACAACAGTAAAAGGAAAAGAGATCAAAAGCACAGACTTTAGGAAAAAATTACCTGCTCTGAAGAGGTGGGAAAGGCAGATAAATAGAAAACATTGGTGTCCAGATTTACTGGTTTGTGTTTTGAATCTGTCTGAGGGTTAAATAATGGTGCTGTGTATTTYGAAGGAAAGGAATTTCAGCTCCCAGGTGCACAACTGCAGCAGTGAATAGGGCACACATCAGTCTGGTATCGTTGCATTCAGGGCAGGGATAAACATCTCAGCACCAGATATTCACAATTCCCAAATTCCTGATAAAATCCTTTGGAGCCTGAGTGTTTCCCAGTGCTGGACAATCAGAAAATAATTGCACAGACAAGTCTGCTTGACAGCTATTAGGCCATTTATTTAGGAATGCCTGACTAAAATGGAGTAAGGCCACCTGCATTAGTCCCAGTTCTGCYGTGCCCAAACTCGTGCAAGCTCTAGTGACAGCCAGGAAGGGACAGCACAGCCACTGTCCCCAGCACCTGAGACCTTCAGCAATCTCAGTCCATCCAATCTCAGCCAAGAGATGCCCAAAAACTCCCCATCAAATCCACTTCTTGTTATCAATTGAAGAATAATTTCTCGTTGAGAGAACCTCACTTGAGGTTTGAAAGTTGAACTCTCACACCATCATCTCCAGGTAGAAGGAACAGACCTGTCAGGACTAAAACAGTGGTTTCCACCTTTAATCCAATTATCAGAGTGATTTCTATTTGGATGTTTTTTTCCACCTTTGCCTGTGCATTCCAACCACCCCCAGCAAAATGACTGGGTAGCCCTTGTGCGACTCCAAAGAGAGTCAACCCAAAAAACTCTGTTCATAACCCAAAAAATCTTGTGTGGTTTTGATCTATCTAAAAATCTAYATATGCCAATGAACAAGTCAAATTTAACTGCAAACAAATTGTCTGCTGTCATTACTCCATATTCCAAAATTATTTCACTTTCTTACAGGCCCAAAACCATCATTAATCCCTTCTGACCTCTCAAGAAAATGAACACATGGTATTTTTACAGTAACTTTCCTACTCATGCTTTATTTTCCCCCTCGGTTTCAATTATACTTTGCTGAATGTCTCTTCCAAGAGTCCTATCAAATTGGCAAAAACTGTAAATAGCAATCAAAATGTTTACAACAGAATTGTATTTGGAGGAGTATGCTGTAGTTCTTCCTACCAAGAATGTTAAGAGATGTTTATTTAGCCACAGACTGGCTAAAATCATGCAACTGACTCTGGTTTTTTGGCATAATTTAGGTCATAACATTGAAGCTAATGGAGAAAAGTTTTATTTTCATCATTTGGCACTTTGTCCAGTGTTAGTTAATCCTTTCCTAGAGGGGGTCTGCATCTTTCCTGAACCTCAATCCTKTCCTGCTGTACAATTTTATTACTCAAAAGCTGACAGTAAAGCACAAATCCTGCTCCCAAAGATGCATAAGGCCAGAAAAGCAGCAGCRAGGTGAGCTGGCCATGCAGAGGAGCCCAGAACCCTGCACATGTCACCAAARGCACTGGCATGAGATGTGCAAGAGCACAAAAGGCACTTCAAGTCAGCCAAAAATCGAGAAAGAAGATGGCATCGGTGGATTTGGGAATTAAGCACCTCTCAGTGACTCAGCCCCTCCTCTCACACACGGGGTACAAGCGGCTSTACCCTCTGGAGAAACTTTGTTCAAGTCCTTCTCACACATTAGGGGAGAACTCCTGATCCCAGAACCTTTTTGTTGGGTTTAGTTCATGGACTAAAAATGCAGCCTTAAAAAGCCAGAGGGGACAACACTCCTGACATTAAACTCTGGAAGCACAAAGCAWCCTTAAATCTAAACAACCCAAGCAGGAAAGCAAAGGTGGGTTACTCACTGCAGGTTTCTTCCCCGAAATATAGTGCTTGGCAAAAGGGGAACTTTCAGGGAAAGAGGGACTGAAATTTTGGCACAAGTTTTAACCATATAGAACAGAAGTTGTCCCCTCTCAGCTTTTCTTCCCATATGAGAATAAAACATAGAGTGTCAAAACTTTTTTGAGTTGCAAAAATATACCAATTTTATACTTTAGATACAACACTTTTCAGTTTCTCATTTGGAACACCTTTTCTTTATAAGTATCTCTTTTTCATTGTTGTTCTTTTTTTTTTTTAATCTTTTCCCTTCCATTTTTAAAGAAAACCCATTTACAAAGGCTTAAATAACCCAACAAGCAAAAAACATTTCATTCCAGGCCATCCCGAAACACCTTCCTTCATTCTCCATCTCTCCCCTCAACCCGGGGCTCCTCTCAGTTTGACTCGAGCTTTGTTTCCCATTCTTTCCCCACGAAAATGAGAACCCCCACCCCAGCTCCACTAACAGAAAGGCCTCGTGCAGRGAAAAAATGCATTTAGAGATGGGCTACGAAACTCTCACTACGACTACAGCCGGGYGGAGGGAGAGAAGCCGAACCAGACSGCGCTCTACCGCCGCCGCCGCTGCCAGTGCCGCRCMCGGTGCCGCAGCCGGCGCGCCGCCAGGCTGATGGGCTGCTTCCCAAACTTCCTCATGATCTCCTTGATCCTGGCCAGGTTGGTCTTGGAGATGGTGAAGTCGCACTGGGTGGCGCCCATGTCGTAGCCGACCTCGCAGGTTTTGGTGGCGGCCGTGTAGCCCTCGGCTTTGACGCCCACCACGTACTCGCCCGGGTTGAGGAGGCGCCAGTAGTCCCCGTCAGCTCCTGGGGGGAAAAGCAGGGTTTTCAGGACATTTGGTCTTTCTTCCTTGAGGGAAGTGTTGTTTATAAGGTCACAGGGTCACTGAGGTTGGAAAGGTTCTCTAAGATCGTCAGGTCCAACCACCAACCAGCACCATCACCACGTTCACCACTAATGTCCTCACTGCCCTACCCATGTGCTTTTTGAACCTTTCCAGGGATGGGGACTCCACCACTGCCCTGGGCAGCCAATTCCAATTCTTGAAAACCCTTTYCATGAAGAAATTTATCCTAACATCAACTCTAAACCTTCCCTGGTGCCACTTGAGCCCATAAAATACAGACACAGAATCACAGAACCAGCTGGGTTGGAAGGGACCCCTGAGGATCACCAAGCCCAGCTCCCAGCCCTGCACCATCCCAGGAGAAATCCTTGGCCATGGGTGACACCACAGGCAGGACTCTCCATCCTCACACCAGCAGGGTGTCCAAGAGGTTCCCCCTCATCKTGAGTACCCCTTTTCCTCCTGGCAGCCCTGCAGGAAAACACATCCCAATCCTATTTCCCAAGGGATGGAAAAAGGCTCCGGTCCAAAAATCCGGAGATTTTTGGCAGCTGGGAAGGCCTGAGGCCAAGGTTGGTGATTACACAGGGTATAAAAGACTTTTCCTAAACTAATCCCAMCTAGAASAGCTCCAGTGGTGTACCCACACCAYGGGACCCGGRCCAGGCTGCCAGGACAGTGAGATTTTGGTGTTATTTATTAGGCAAAGTGGGTGAATACATAATATCCACTCCCTTTGAGCTGGAAGTAAATATTCCTTTCTATCAAGCCTCACTTYGGGGTTATAACACTGATTTTCCTACAAAGTATAATTCACCGGGGTATTTAACAACCTGTAAATGCACAAACCCAGCTCCTGTAATCAACTAAACTACTTATAAAAATGTATTTTAACACCTCATCGACTCAGGAGTTTTTGATTTCTTCTTTTTCCCCATGAATGATCTCAGATATTCCCATTTTATGTTCCCATATGTGCATCAGGATGGTTTTAGGCTTCTTTTAAATATGATTTTAACCACAGTGTATTCTTAGCCACGAACTAAAAAAGGGGAAAAACTATTACCTAAAATTAGTTTTGCACTCTGTCCTGGAAAAACTCACTGTGAATGAAAATACATATTTAAATATGCGATTCCATGTAAAAATAGAAATGGAACATCTCCKGCATAAGGAGGGGTTGGGGTTTTTTAGCACTGATGAGACCTGACAGCCTTACCAACACCAGCCTTGGCTTGCTGGCAATGCAGAGTGGAGCAGAAATTGAGGATGATTTGCATAAAAATGTTATGTTTGGGAAAAGCTCAGACTGGTCATCCTCTGCTTAAAGAAACAGAATTTAAATTTATGGTTTGGTAAAACAAAAAATGTGTTTGCAAATAGCAAGTGTCAACAAGCATCAATATCGACCCTGGAACTGCACCCTCTGAGTGTGCCAAAACTGCACCTGGTCAGGTTCATTCTCACATCCCAACTTGCTCTGGTTTTTCTTTCAGCCAACTGGACCCCATTTAGGGTGATAATAAAGTCCAAATTTTCTGTTTCTCGGGACTCAGATGTTTTTAGGAAAGGCTCTAAGAGAAGCTCTTCATTCAGCTCTGCCTCACCGCTGGTTCTGTTGGAACCTGAACAAAAGGACAAACCCTAAATCTGCCCAAATTCCTCCTGTTTATCCCCAAGGGCTCATTTTGAGCTGTGAACACTCTGGCAGCTCCACAGGGTCACCCCACGGGTGGCTGTGACCCCATCCCTGCTCCCAGCCCGGCTTTAGCCCCAGGATTGCAAACCTGACCCACATTTTTCTGACACGTTTAACAATCAGTTCATCACAACCCCACACAGGGCCAGAAATAAACCTACATATTCACACCCCACTGGGAATTTATTACAAAGCTGGATATTAATCCTTTAGCAAATGCACTTTCCCTCCTTTCCATTTACAAGCAAGMAGACAGGAGAATTTCTGTCAGCTGTCAGTGTCCAGAATTTAATACCAGGCTAAAAGGCTGGGTTTTTTTTGTTTTTTTGTTTTTTTTTTAAAATCTGATTAAATTCAGTAGGTAAAAAAAATTCAGAACAGATGGAAAAAAAGAAACACAATTAAAAACATAGATAAATTTAGTGAATAATASGTTTGCTGAAATAATAGGTTCCAGTGGGAGCAGGCTGGAGGCAGACTCCATCCATATTCTCCTACTGGGCCTGGAAAAGGATGGCCATGTCTGCTTAGATAAAATAACACTGCATTAAAGGACAAAGATAGTATTGCTATGAATTTAATATGTCAGATTACTCCATGCATTCTACAATTTAGAGAAATATCCTTCAAGCCTGGTAGGACAGACCTTAGTTACAATTAAATAACTGCAAAAGTAATTTTTACACTTAAATATACCRAACTGTGATGATTTAAATACATTATAAAAATCTTTCTATTGCTCTTTTACCTACAAAAGACTCTCCAGGAAAGCTGGATAGTGCTGCACACCCAGTGCATGCAAAAACTTAAACTCAACTTTTCTGGATAGACCAGGCAGCCAGGAATGAGGCTGGAGAATTGTCATAACAGAATTATGCTTAGCTTAGACTAATTAAATACATATTAAATATATTTAATATTGAAATATATTTAATATAGAAATATATTTAATCTAGAGATATATTTAATACATTAAATATTATTAAATGCTACTTCAACATCCTTGGGGTTTGATACATAAGGTATACTGAAATCAGAGCAAACTTGCCAAAATATTAATAAAAATTTCTCTGGACTGTGTGAAATTAAATTAATTACTCTTTGGCTCAAAAACCACACAGAAGTGTCTGTATTTGAACTCTGGTGGTGACACATAAGTGTTTCTTCAAGAAGAAAATGCATATTTCTACAACAACAAATACTTTGACATTTCCCAAATGTGCAATTACAGGACCCCCAAAACTGCCTTTGCATCATGGAAGGGGAAAAGGTGCATTTTTTTCACCCAACTGAATTCTTTTCCAAAGGTTTTCTCAAACAGAGCAGTCCATATCCGACTGTAACAACATGTAATCACTCAGACTTAATCAATAGCWACATCTGCATCAGGAGAAAATGGAATAATTCCCCACAAAGCYCTCGCTCTTGGAATCAATGCCTTCAATTAGCCCATTAACAGCTTGAGCCAAATGCCAGCATCCCTCTCATTCCCAAACATGGCCAGGAGAAAGCAAACCCAACGTGCTTCCCCTGCACTTTCATTTCAGCCCATAGGAAGAAGCAAAGATATTTTCTCAAAGCTTTAAATGTTATTAGAGGGCTTTTACAGCCAACTTTTGTCTGGCTCTACGGGGCYGCTGACCACACGAACGCGCCAGGGAAACGGCTCAGTCGAAACAAAACTTATGTGAATAGAGATAGTGGCTGTAATTCTTCTCCTGCTTGGCCTATTTTTACATCAAGGCAACTCAGAGGTTTAAATGGGTCCATTTTTCATTTTAAAAGGTATAAATGAAAGGAGACTGCTGACAATTTGCCTTCTTTCTCTGGAGTTATACGTGTCATTTTAGCTTCTTGGCTCCAGCATAAATCCCCTGGTTTCAGGGACTAATGAGACGTGTATTGTTATCTGGATAATATGAAACAAGATAGAACTTTTATGTTCCCATCTCCACAGTGATTCCAGCGTGTGAGCTTAAACATCTCATTAAAAAGAAAAATTAAAGGGAATGAAATAAGTACTTTTATTTTTACTAACAAGTGCAGACAGCCTCGAGCTGTAGAACTCAGCAATAAGTCAAGAAGCAAACAGCTGCAAGATTCCCCGAGTGTTACAAGGTGGATTTTGGGATCCTGCCCATTTATTGCTCTTTATTTTTCTTTCACATGACAAGCCGGGCACAGAGAGCTGGAGATTAATCACATATTGCATTAACGCTGCCTCAGCCAGAGCAATACATTAATTCTGTGAACAGAGCAATACAACCCACACTTCATGGCAGACTTTCAGCACTGYCAAGGCTTCCAAGACAAGAAGAAGCAGCTGATTACTTTAATTCCCACTGTCATTTCCCAGTGGTSCCATTTTGAAATATTTAAGGCAGAATCATTATTGCCTAATTAAATATCTGTCATTCAATGCTTTCTTTTACAATGGAGACACAGTGGCACTGGAATGAATCATAAACTAAGTTAGAATTTCCAAGATTCATTATTGGCTCAGGTCACATCCTGTGGCAAACATTAAAGACTTGGAAGTCACAAAGCTCTGTGATCTTCCACAGCCTGAAATCTGTTTATGTGGCCAAATCTGCCACTCTGTACCCCAGTGGCAAAGCACATGGAAGGGCAGCAGATGAAGGACACAGAACATCAGGAAAGACATAAAAATACATAAAATTAGTGTTTAAAAGATATGCAGATTTGGTACTTAGAAACATGGTTTAGTGTGTTTGGTTTTAAACTATAAATCTGGGGGGTTTTGCACTGATTTTTGTTATTTTTATTGTTGTTTTTTTTTTTTACCTGTGCGAATGTCGTGGTTAACACCTTCCACTGAAATAACAGCGTTTGGGATTCCTTTTCCATGCACATCTTTCACAATGCCTTTGATGCCACGATGGACCTGTGGAGAGAATAAAATAAAGCAAGTAAATACTGCACAGCAATGAACAGCAGTGTTACTACAAACTTACAATGAATCATTAATTCCCTACGTGAATTATATTTTTGTATTACTACTTTATGGCTCACAAAATTGTCAAATGTCATTATTAAACCTGCATCAACCCTTCAGGCATTAACTTGTGAATCAGTTTATAAATTTTGTTAGGATTCYTGAGGCATCAAATTCAAGATATAGGTAAAAAGAAGAGATAAAACAACAGACATAATATATTTTTTTTCCTAGCAGCCCTTTCTAGCAAGCTCAGCACTYACATCAAATTTTCAGCAGCTTCATTATTTTATTCTTCTGAGTCAAACCAGCCTGGCTGGAGTGRTACGTCCATCAAAAATTCCAATAAAGCATTTAATTAGCCATGCAAAAAAAAAAAAAGAGTAGAAACCTTAATTTTTCAGTTTGAAAGGGGTTACAGTTTTATACCTGTTCCATAAAAACAATCAGGGACTCGCGGTTGTTCTCCCACTCTTCAGGCAGCTCACTCTCATGGGGGTATTTGTCACAGCCAACRTAGATGGAGAGCTCAAAGCAGTTGGTGTGCAGGTAGCTRAAGTCATTTATRCCTGTCAAAAGGGGAAAAAARGGAATAATTTMACTTCCTTTTTAATCTATCAKAGCTGAGTTTTCATGMAAATTAATGGAACTTCTAYAAACTCAAATCGGGTATTCATCCAGCCGGTTTGGTCTGAAGAATTGGAAGGGGAAAAGGATTTTAGGAATGCCACATGTGCTGTAGCAAAGCTTCAGAGTGKCCAAGGCCAGGCTGGATGGGGCTTGGAGCAACCTGGTCTGGGGAAAGTTTGATCCAAGCAGRGGTGGAACTTGATRGGCTTTAAGGTKCCTTCCAACCCAAATTATTCTGGGATTCTGTTTGTAGAGAAGATGGGAACAGAACCAGGAAAAAGATCTCTCTCTACAGCAAAACTTGTTCTCTGTTTTTAAGAAAGCACTGAGGAAAAAGATCTCTCTCTACGGCAAAACTTGCACTCTGTTTTTAAGAAARCACTGAGCATCCCTAATGCTGGGCACTTCCCCATGAAGCAGCTCTCACTTGTGAGAGCTCTGGATAGAAATAGAATTGTTTGTGTTGGGTTGCAAGGATGTGCAGATGTTAACCCAATTCATACAACCCTAAATCTGCCCAAGGACCATAATTCATAGAGCCCTAAACACCAGGACCAAGAGCAATGTGCTCACAGGGATTGCTGTGTAAAAGGGATTTATCTGAGCAGTTGTGAAACAGCTCCTTAGTCTCTTTTACCCCATGAGTAATCTGATAGAAAAGCCAGGAGAATCAAGGTAGTAATAATTATTTTATGTTATATATGACGTCTTTAGTTGTAAGAATTGACAGGGTGTCTCTTCTCTCTGTTAYRGTGCTGCAGGAGKCTGGGATCTCCACTGTTGCTCTGCAATAGGGATTTCCATCAGGAATATATCCTAATCAAGCCCCAGGAACCTCAGTGCCTCCTGCTCTGAGGAGCTACAATTTAATTCTGAATTAGACACCACTGCCAAAGGTCCTGAGCACTGAGGAGGATTGTAGGAGGATTGCCCTCTCACACCGAGCTCAAACATTCCCATTCCCCAGGTTTCTCTTCTGTTTCTCACTGTTATTTTTCCTGCTCATTAGTTCTGCACAGCCACACAGATAACGAGACACAGAACATGAGCACTAGAGGAAGAAATTCTGGGAGCTTCATTTCTTATTCCACCTGCATTTCTAATAAGAAATTAATTTAAAAGATGYCTGTTAACGATCAGCAATTGTTATGTTTCGAATGGCAGAGATTAGGAGTTGCATTCACCAAGTTCTGACAGAGAAGAGTTAAAACAAAATCCCTGCTCCTGTCCAATTACCACAGAGCAGTAGTCAAGTATTTAATGAGCCCTCAGTGCCTTCTGGAAGCAGAGCAGGAGGATTATATAATACAGATGTTAAACTTTTCACTTTTGTTGCTGAGGAAAGCCTAAACATCAGCCAGTGGCATATGCTGCTAAGGATAAACGTGCTTCCCCTCCACTTGAGAAGCAGCCACAATTATTTTCCCCTCACATTCTGTATCACATCCTGATTAATCTGCTGTGAAATGTTTTGCCACACACAGTAATTGCTCAGTTTTAATACGTGTATTTAAGAAAATGGCTTAACGTTGCCAAGAGCAACTCTTTCCTGGTGTCTGAACATGCGAATCCAGCCTCAAAAACACTGGAAATAAAATTAAATCCATCTCTTTTTTTTGTCTTTGTGCAGTTCATCCAGTGCAGAAACTTAATATGTAAAATTTCTGAACTTGCATTCACTGCAGCCCAAAATATGTGCAGGAAATAACATGGCTGGGTTTTAAAGGCATGAGGAGGTGTTGGGATATCTGTGCTGCACATGGTGCTCTCGGGACTGAAAAGAAAAATTTAAATAAATATTCCCATGGCATGAGCAGTGAGAAGTTTCTGTGCAGGAAACTTCAACTGCAAGGAAGCAGAGGGATGAGGAGAGAGGAGATGGGAAATTTCGAGGTGTGGGGCAAGGAGGAGATGCAACCCACCCCAAAAGATGAGTGGAAGAGCTTCTGCAAACACTTTATTGGAGGTCTTCCCACAATGTAACAGATCAGGATTATAAATCATAATTAAAACATCACCCAGCAACAAAACAAATCAGATGAAACAAATCCAATATGTAATTGCTCCTAAGAAATCAGGGTAATATTTAGCATTTTTATTGTCTGTCTTTACTTAATATAACTCAGTGTGACAGCTGTTAGTGACAAGGCCAATGTCATCTTTTCTGGATCGATTTATAATGATGTTCCTTGAAGCACTTATGAAAATTAAACCCTTAAATTAGATAATTAAGTGGTCAAGTTAGCTCTCAGAGAGCGTGCTTTAGGATTTTCAGAAATGCACAGGAATGCACTGTCAGACCCAAGAGTCCAAGGTTTCTCCCCCAAACCCACCCGACACTTTTTAACCTCCTGAAAAAATATTTGAGAAGTTAATTCTTGACTTTAAAGGCCGGCCAGCACTAACTTCACATGGGCCAACATAAAAGCCATAAAAGCCATGTCCAAAAACCCAGAAATGTTTATGCAGTGGAAGGACCTGAGAGTTCCAAACTCGAGCCAGTTCCAGTAAAACCCAGGCTGCAAACTCTGGTCTGCATCTGTTTGCCATCACTGCTGCTCCCGTTGTCAGCCCCACGGTGGCAGATGYCTGTCCCACATTTTCATTTCAGGAAATGTGTTGTTTGACTGGTGCACTCACAAAATCACGAGGATTTTGAGCAGAACCCTGCTGAATCAGCAGAGTTTCTGGTTCCCAGCCTGCTCTGAGTGCACACACAGACACAAACGTGTCTGATGCTGTTAAAAAAGGGTTTCTGATTGGGGCTTTCCTGGAAATTGAGGTTTTGTCTGCACCACAGGCCGTGGCTTCCCTTTTGTGCTTCTCAATGGGGTGACAGCCTGGGATTTATCCTGGCAGCAGGAATGCCATGCAAAGTGTAAGAAATTTGTAAGAAATAAGATGGTAGCAGGCAAGCAGTAGCTTTTTATGGCTTATTATTACAACCCCGAGTGGATGTGAGTGGGGGCTGATCTGTGGCTGAGTTCAGCAAGCAGGAGGCTGAAATCAGGATTTTCTTATCTGAGGGCCACTGGAATCTGTCCCTGAAGCTGCTGTTCTTGCTCTGACACTATTTTTGATGCTTGGCAGCATTTTTCTGTGTCACCCTGGGAGATGGCAAAGGCTGACAGGATCCCCCTGCAGTGGGTTTGGACTGGGCTGATTTCTTCTGACAAACTGTTGCGAGTGCACATAATTCTGATAATTAATGATCTGCATGGGCACTTTTGGAGAATGAAACCATCCCCAGGTGTCAATGACAGCAGTGACACCTGACACAGGATGAAATGGGGAAATATTCCTCTCAGAACACACATTTCACCCCCACCACCTCTGCAGCATACACCAGACAGTGACAGTGCTGCCTCATTGGCCAGTTTTAATTATAACACAGGCATGGTTAAGGGGATAAAAAGATTTTACCTCGGTATTTAATGAGATCTCAGGTGTACAATTCGATGAAAGTGCACACAGTGTATAGCACAGATAAATATTAGCACATCTATCTGGGATTTTCTAATAAGAAACTTAACAAATGAAGTAATGTTTCTCTATTTTAAAGAATTTTTCCTCGGAATGCCAGAGGCCAGAGCTCAGTTTACACAAAATGTTCCAGAGAGGAGGCTTCACCCAGGGCTGGAGCCTCAGGTTTAGGATGGCACAGGGTACACTGACGTTTTCCTGAGGATGTTTGGTCTCTCTGCCCAGCAGAACCCCTAAACTAAGCTGGAATATCAGAATTACAAGCATATATACTAAGAGAACTAAGGGATACATAAAGGGAACAGAAAATATCCAAAAAGGGAATAAAAATATATAAAAGGATACATAAAAAGGAAAGGCAATAATAATCCGGCATCAACGGCTTTATCCTAATTAGCGAGATAACCCTAATTAGAGCCTGTACCACTCACTTCCAGCCACGGTGTGCCAGGAGGCTCCGTTGACAGTGCCATCCTCCTTCTGGAAGTCCTCGGTGTGGCAGGCTCTCCTCCTGGCGTCCGTCATCAGCCGGTGTGTGGAGGCGTAGGAATACGCCAGCCAGCGGAAGACGTGGTCGTCGGGCGTGGGGGTGTAATCCTGGGTTTTCCACATGGATCTCACCATGTCGTAGGGATAGGCCACCACCAGCTCTCCCCCTTGCAAGTTGCCACCCAGCACGAAAGGGATTTTTTCCATCCAGGCTATGATTGCTCGTGTCTCCACTGCCACCTGGGAGGGGAAGAAACAGCTCTGATGCAGCTTGGAAATGGGATGATGGTGTTTCAGAGGGAGATCCCAGGCTCAGGAGCTCTGCTGGGAGTTCCTGAGAGTGAGGAGCCAGCAGAAGGGGTGTGGGCAAGGAGAAGGGAGGTTACAGACATCCCTTAATACCTAAAAAATCCTTTATGTCACTAATTCATGGAACAGGAGCATCTATGTTGCGTGAGGCCAACAGCAGGAACTGAAAGGGATGTCAGGGGGTGATGCTGGTCCCCCTCTTTTGGTTTCCAAAATAAGTGACTTTAAACATGGAAATAATGGCTATAAATTAAAACTCGAGAAGTTTCACCTCAACATGAGGATGGACTTTTTTCCATGAGTGTGGCAGAGCCCTGGAACAGCTGCCCAGGGAGTCTCCCTCTCTGCAGACATCCCAAACCCACCTGGGAGTGTTCCTGTGTCACCCGCTCCAGGTGACCCTGCCTGGGCATGGGGTTGGACTGGATGATCTCCAGAGCCCCCTTTAATCTGTAACTATTCCATGATTCTGTGATTCTAAAGTGCTAAACCCTGCCACAGTGAAGCTGCTATTAATAGCTGCCATAATATTTCAAAGGTCAGGCAAAAAGAAGTTGAATTTCTGTCACTACGATCAAATAAACAACTTGAGCACAAGCCACTGCATTGGTTTTGCACATGCCTGATCTGTTGCTATGTTATTCAAGATAAGAATATATTTCAAATAAGACCAAGTAGGAAAATCCCAGGAGAAATCTGTGAGTGAGTTTTTAAAGAGCTCATCTACGCCACGAAACCTGTCTGAGCTCATGGAATGCTTCTCCCTGTTGATTTGTTGCTGCCTAAAAGTTGGGTATTGAGTCCTCCAGTTTCTCAAAACAGCTGAGGGAAAAGAAAAACCTCAAGGAAACAGTTCCTTCCTCAATTTCTGCCTGTAAAACCTGAGGGTGAATGGGCCTTTTTTGGTGCATTTTTATTTCCACTGACATACAGGGAAGTGCTGACGGGGAGCTTAGATCAGGTGTGGGATTTATTCCCAAGTTGTTTATTTTTTGAGGAATGTAAATCTGAATCCCTCAGCACATCCCAGCCCTCATGTCCCCTCTCTGGGCCGTACTCACAGTGGCATTTTCTGACAGGTACCAGTCAGGGATCGGGATGTGATGGTTTGGAACTTTCCTTTTGCTCTTCTTCTGATCTTCTGACTCCCAGAGGAGAGAGTTTAAATCAGGGAAGTTATTGTTGATGTCAATGCCGTCCTGAGTCCACCGTCCTAGAGACCAGCCCCCCAATTCTGAACCCTTAGAGTTAAAAAAGGGAAAAAATAAAGATTAATGTTCATTCAGAATAGGACAGCCTGCGAAAGTTTTGAAATGGGCCAGAGGTAATTCTAATGCAGAAAAGTGGAAGATTAAGTATTTAAATAGCTGAAAAAGTATAATTGGCCCTTTTTCTTTTTTAATTTCTTATGAAGTCTTGAACAAGGTAAAGCAAAAACAATGAAAAGTTACTTGAGGTTTGCCAAAATGTATCTTTCAATGGAGACAGCACACATTCCCTCCCATGACTACGACTCTGACTTTTCTGCTCCAGTCTTCTCTAGACTGCTCTGGAAGATTTTGACCAGCCCCTACAATTTTTCCTGGTGTCTGTCCTCATCCAGACTGAATTATTGCGATGCACAACACACTGTGCTCTCCTTAAAGGCACACTATTAAATTTCAGCTGTGGAGGAATGCAGATTTTCACGTGCTGAGCTTGGTTTCTCATGAGAAACAGCCTGCATGAATTTTCCATTTTTTCCTAGTGGGCACCTCATGATGTCTTTTTTCTGGCAGTCTTTGTGGCCCTTCTTTCCACGCACATTTTCCCATTACCCAACATCACACAAAATACATTTTCTTTCCACTTTTCCCCAACATGTTTCAGTGCTCTGCGCTCACTTTGACGCGCTCATCTTTTAATTTCTAAACTTTGCTCGCTCGCAAAATACAACCTTCAAAACCAACAACAAGAGGAGCGTTTTTGATACATCTAACGGAAAGACAACAATTCCTCGATGAGTTCATCATCCCATTACCGCTTTGTAGGCTTTGTCATATCCGTCAGGGTTCACTGAGGGCAGCAGGTGGATCCTCGTGCCCTCGATGAGGTGAACGATGCGTGGGTTCCCAGCCAGGTACTCCTGGCACATGAACTGCATCAGCAGAAGGATCAGCTCCCGRCCCAGCACCTCGTTCCCGTGAGCTCCCGCGATGTAGTGGAATTCTGGCTCCCCTGGGGGGGAAAAAAACACGGAGCAGAGTTGTGGTCAAACGCCATCAATGTCAATCAGCAATATTTCCCTAAAGTGAAGCTGGAGAAATGTCTTAACTACACGAATAAGGGGTGAAAATGTAACTTTTCAAAATAGCAACTTCTGTTGCTATTTCACGACCAGCTTATGTATCCGTGATATCTAAAGACACTGTACAAAGCCTCCAAACCCATTTTAAAATTAAATATATTTTAAATTATACTCACAATTTTAGAACATTAGAGGTAGATTTTAACAGTTCTGATAGTCTAAAAATAACATGAAAGATACATTGCCAGCTGTTCTTTGGGACAGAAGATAATTTTCCTAACAACCAATTTAAACACGTCAGAGTATTCATGGACACGGAAAAGCACAGAATTGCTTTATCCAGACAGCTGTCCCAGGCACTACCAACGTGAGAAGGGCCAAAAACTATATTAAAGACTTATATCATGGTAAAGTTGTGCCCCAGCCCTCACCTAAAGATGATTTGCCACTTTTGACTTGCCACTGCTTGCAATGCATTCACCCTACATAAAAAAGGTAAATTTCTATCCCAAACGACATCAATCTCCACAACTAAAACCCATCCCCCTGCACTAGAATTCATTTTTATTTTATTACTGTAAGGAATGATTATTAAAGAATTCGATCCCACATTCAAAATGTCTCCTATCTGTGTTCACCCTCCTCTTCCCATTTTAGAAATACAGTGCTGAGGTTCCTCCCACATACATTTGAAATCTTTGCTGCCAAGAATATAATTCCATCAGTGGTAATTAGTGCAGATACAGAGAAAGAGGAGGGGAAAAAACCCCCAACCCCAGCACCCCTTTAATAGATTTAGTTAAAACTAAATCCTAACCAACTTCGTGTTCTCCTGGGTTGTCAGAAATCTCGACGGCGTACAGCTTCAGTCCTTGGTTGCTTTTTCCAATATTGTAAATTCTTGTGATATTTGGGCACATTTTATTCACAGTTTTCATCAACTGCCAACAACAACAAAAAAAGAGAGACATATTTAGAAAATGCAGCATCAAAATAGATCCACTGGTTCATTCTAAATTGGATGTGGCACAAAATCTCCATTTGCTTCTCTGATTATTTCTTAGTTGTAAAAGCTTTATGTTTCGTTCATGAATTCATGGCTCTGCTATCACATTTTTTAAACATTATGCAGTGGAGAGTAATTAAAATAATGGAGAGTAATTAAAGCAACCACACTCTGTGATGTACTGTAGGTAAGGGACTTGAGGTGACTCACAGTGTCAGAGCACAGCATTTACTTTGCAGGTTGCCACATTCTCTCCAATAGAAATATTTTTTTTTTTCACTCTGCCAGCAAGTAGAGATACTGCATTAAAAAATTCCGTTTTAGCTAAAGGCTCAAACTGTACTTTATCAATAATATCACTGAATCAGATCTGTGTCTACTAATTTGTCTCCTCACACTTCATTCAAATGGAAGGAAACTCAGCTGGCTGATGYAYCCCTGCATCCCTGCAGCTCCATGAGCTGAGAAAGAGGAAAGGTGAGCCTGTTGTCTCTGAAAATCAGCAGAGAAATTTCTGCCTCTGAAAATTCCCCGGAGCAGAAACTTTTCTGACGTGCCTGGCACTGCAGTGCTCACAGAACACCAAGAACATCAATTTAGAAAAGTGGTTGAAAGTATGGAAATGATCATTAATAGTGAGAAAAATGCTTAGAACCAAGTTCAAAATACATTAAATTCAGTGGAAATGTTTGTGTTGGCCTTAACCAATCTTTAATTGCAAACATGTGATTATTTTCTGAGTCAAAAAACTTTTCCTGAATTAGAGCCTCTGTAGCAACCTTTGCTGTGGCTCTTTCGGTAACACATACATGCAATTTTAATTGTTAATTAATTATGGAATTGTTAATATTTATGGAAACACAATGCTGAAAATGAAGATATTTCACATTTGAACTTCTCACATCCTTTTCCAGCAAATGGAACAGTATTTCACCTGTCATCTGGGTTTGCTGTCTCAAAGATGATGTTGTACTCAAACCTCCACATCAACCCATTTAACAGTTTCCTAAACCACATTAATACATATGAAAATATACATATAAATGAACACATATAAATATTTTGCGCTGCAAAACAATCTTGAATTCCTCACACAAGATACAGCCAGTGTTCCCACTGGCTGGAGGAAGAATATTGAATGCTCTTTTGCAAGAAAAAAAAATGGAACTACAAATTTCGTCTTCCTTGGCAGGGAGTTCTATTAAAATAACTTGAAACTGAGAAAATCCCTCCCTCTCACAATATTTGATTTATTGCAATGTGATGTAATTCTCCCAAAACATGGCCCAGGGAACATCATCTCCTCCTCCTTCAGTATTTATAATAAATCACTTCAAAGAACAGCATTTTTCCAAGATGGTTGGTGGTGGGGTAGCTATGAAAAGTGAAAATCATGTATATTTTGGAGGGGTTAGGTGATTTTTTTTTGTGATTTTTGTTTCTGGTTTGTTTGTTTTTAATAAGAAGTTGAATCTGGCAGTAATTATTTCATTTTGCACTTAAGTTTTAAGAATAGTCTTGGGAATTTAAGACTTGCTGCAATGCAACCCACAATCTTCTGCCTACCAGCAATTAAAATCCAATGAGCTCTAAACAAATTTACTATTTTGACACAGAGGAAAGCAGAAACTGGGAGAGCACAAACCCAGTTCACTCCTCTCAGCCACAGTCACAGATTTTCCACTGAGACGAAGAGTGCAAAACCATTTTGCTTTAAATCTGTGGCTTTTTCCCCCCAAGATATTTCTAACCTGACCAACCTGCCTTTCCGCAGTGACAACATAAATACATTTTATTTTATTGTTCTTGACAGTAATTATGCCAATTGAGTTCCTACTCGTCTGATCTTCACACTGAGGAATACAGGCCATGAAATCTCCACCAAAATAAACGTGTGACTCAGTACACAATTGCTCAGTAAAAACCGGCGGTGATTCATGCAGTATAAATACCCCGAAAATCCAGCACACAGCAAGTGATTCACACACATCAAGTCCAAACGTATTAACTTTGTATTTGACGAGAAAACGGGCAGAAATATTTCTTCAGGACAACCCACACTTGTGTCTGTGGTGATGTGAAGCAAAATTGAAAACAATAACAAAGCTGAGAACAAGGTTGGCTGTTAGAAGTTAAAGAAACGAGATTAACAAATCTGGTAGGGTTAAAATAATTTAAATAGGATTTTTTTCCTGGTGTTTTTGGTGAGTTTTTGCTGATTTTCACAGGTGTGAATGGGAAATTGGGCTCTATAATTCTGATTATCCAGACTCACTGAAATTTATGAGAAAACTGATGGATAAATCAGAACCAAATCTAGAAGGAGAAATCACTGTGTCATTCACCACTCAAATACACATGGAAGAAAGAGAGTGGCACATTTTATGTAAATACTCCCTCTGTCATGTAGAGTCACCTCTTTAACATTAGATAATGTAAAAATTAAGAGATTTTAATAGATCGATGCTTTAATAAATTAAACCAGGAAAACTTATTTTAAAAGTATATTGCAGAGAAAATTTAATTATATTTGTAAGAGGTGGAATTCAGATTCCATAAGGCTGAAAAAGCTGCACCCATCCCCCCTCCATCACACACCAGCCTCTTTGCCTACCTGCCTCATTTCCTTGTAGTTGTGATGCTTGAAGTCCAGATTGTCTGTGGTTGTCATTTCATTTCTTCTGTGGTAATAATTATTTGGGTCTGAGGAAAGAAATAAAAGAGTTTTTACATCCTTAGGAATTTCAGATACAGAGGTGCTTTGGCACAAATCATGAAAGAAACATGGAAATCTGAATTCCACCGTCCTGTGTGGACTTAAAATAGGTTTTCAAAAGCAAAACTCAGAGGAAAAAAAATTTGAATACTTCTAATCACTGCACAAATAAATTCATGTAGATCCAAACAAAAGCAAAGAGGCATCAGCTTTCCAGACAGCTCCTCTGCACAAAAAAAATAAACTTCAACAGAAAAGCAGAAGGGCAGCCTAAGGCTGCAGAGGGAAAAGTCATTGGGAAATGATGAGTCAGATGCAAGATAAAAGAGTGGAAGAAAAATCAAATTAGAGGGAAAAGCCACGGTAAATGCTTTGTGTCCACTTGATTAATTTACTATTGCGAGTAATTTTAGTTTTCCTGATGAGTATTTTCCAAGGCTGTGCACTGCTTGCAAAACATGGAAACGAGAAACTGTGCATAATAAACATTCCTAATTATCTTCCAAAAGAATTCTTGTGGAAGTCAGAGGTCTTTGTTACTTAAAAATTTACATATTCGCCTTGTTTATGGATATTATTTATAGTTTGTGTATTTGAAGGATCAAAGGAGGATATGTGGTTAGAAAAAAATCTTTTGTCTCCTTGACATTCCAGACCCTTCACCTGGAAAAAAAAAACAAAACCAGGCCAAAATTATTATGGCTCAGCTTTGAAGCTCCTGCTAGATGTGCTCCTATCTTAATCTATTGTGATTTATTTTCAGAGACAAACAAGTCTATTTGGACAACATCAGACACATTCCTTGACTTGCCACATCTGGGATGTCTGGAATTTTGAGTAATCATTTGTCAAGCCAGGGTTGTCAGGCTTTTATGAAAAATTGTTTCGCTTCACACAAAATCGTCTTCATTGGCTTAAAATTATTGGGGGGAAAGGGAAATATGAAAAAGTCTAAGTATTGTCCTGTCTGATTGCAACTCAAGAAGTTTTTAGGGAAGAAAAATGGTTTTAAACATCAGCACCTGTCAGTTGTGACTTTTTCTGGGGGGGAAAGAGAACAATTCTCAGTAGGAAGAATTCACAGTTACCATCCCACAGCAACAAACCCTCAATGGACTTATAGAAAACTCGTAACACTGAAAAATACTTTACAACAAAATTTTAAAGTTTCATATTTCTGACATTAAAACCACTAAATATTCCCATAAAATTCTAAAATTTTTTGGGTCTTCTGTACCATTTAATTTATTTATGAAATGAAATAGGCAAGTTCTGTTAAACTTCACAGTAACATGATCCATCCTTGCCTCCACTTCCACATTTCCTAATCTGCAGCAGAGATATTGGAAGGTCACTTGAAGGCTGCTCTGCAAATATGACTGAAAAATATCAAA